GTAACCCGTAGCCGTCAGAGTGTAACGTCTGCTCAGTAAGCGCACTGCGCGACGCTCCACCGAAATACTAGTGGAAATTAAATATATAATATTGCACAATATTGGAAAAAAGAGAAAAAATAAAAAAAATGCAGGTGAAACTTACGCGTTACATTCCTTCTTTGTTTTTCGCCATTGTACGGTGCGCTGCTTCCTTTGGCGGAATACATTGCGTATTGTTCGAATGATGGAGGAGCGGAGTACCGTTTGTGTCGTGCAGATCGTTCGATGGAGGAGGAGGACTGATTGCGTAAATTTTTTGACATGGTAAACCGTTAATCCCCCCACCTCCCCCCTTTTTTCTAGGAATTTCATTGTTGCAATCAAACATGTAGCGATATGTTCGCAAAGGAGCGCGATGACGTTCAAATTTTGTTTTCTAGGAAGAGCTCGTGAAAAGATAGCTCTTCGTAGAAATCGACGTACGTGTCGCAGCGTGTCAAAAGAAGCGCCGATACTCCGGTTACTATAAACAAATCGGGGAGACTTATGATAGTTTTTTTTCGCCGAAATCGGCGTACGTGTCGCGGCGTGTCAAGAGAAGCGCCGATACTCCGGCTGCTATAAACAAATTAGGGAGACCTATGATGAAGCTCCGACAAAGAAATTGTCGATGATATATAATGGGTCATGCGGTGTGCAGGATCACAGTAGATGGAAGTCTAATGTGTGTGAAAAAAATAGTTGACGGTGAAAATGGATAATGTGTTAAATATAGAAAATGTGTTTAACATGGATGAGGAAGACTTTGTGAATATAGTGGACGAAGTGTTTGAAAATGAAGAAGAAATAGAAATTGACAATATTGACAATATTGACATTGATATTGACATTGATATTGAAGACGAAGAGCACGCATTGTCTGACGATAGTAATTACATAAGTGATCAAAGTGATGACCTTACGGATTATGCAGAAAAAATTGTCACCCGTCGGAACTCCTTGCGAATAATAATAAAAAGTATTGTTCAATACAATTTTATTATTCAACGGGTGGTGCGCTAACTCTGTGTGCCGAATGCATGGTTCTGGCGGACACTGACATTGGAGTATTGTATACCGTTAGGAAACACGAGATAGATACTCTCAATGCGCTAAACAGCCGATTTTGCTCCAATTGCCAACAGTCCGTCTGTATGATAATGCCATGCAACATGTGCCCAATTTGCACAAATTGAAAAAAGACAACATTGTGAACGAGGCATATACAAGTGGAAGAGTGTGATGTGATATAAAAACAATATGGAAAGTCATTGGAAGAATTAACAAGTTCTCCGTTATGGGATTCAATCTCTCATCTACCAGTGAACGTGGCGGTGTATTTTAATAAAGAGACACTATACCTCAACTCCCATTCCCGATTT